CTATTAGTTTTTCCCCACTGCATTTTCAAAATTGTTACTAAAAATGTGATCAGAAAGTTGGAAACTTGTATGCAAATTTATTGAATTTTCCTGAGTTTTGTACAAAGTGTAGAAAGTATATTTTTATGTTTTTTGTTGTAGTATAAACTATGTTTTCATAAACTCAATACATTACATGCTATTTGGAATAAGTCTTTTAAAACATAAGGAATTTTAATATATTTATGTATTTTCTAAAAAAGATTTAGGTAATGAAATAGTACAAAGATAATAGAGTAAAAACCAGAATAAAAATATATGGTAAATATATGGTTTTATTTTTTTTGTGAAAATCTTCGAAAAAATAAAAACTTAATATTTCAGAAAATTTTGAAATGATTTTTAAAAGATTGGTATCGTACATAAAATTTGAGAAAAAACACTAAAAAGGAAAAAATACCTTTTTTTATAAAAAAAAATTTACAAAAAAATTACTAATTAGTAATATAATTGAATACCGTATTTAAATAAAACAAATAATTAATATTGTTTTATGCGTTAATTCGTTCTTGTTCACCCACAGCCCTGTTAAAAATAAAGCAAACGTATATGTAACAGAAGTCTAAGGCATATAAAAATATAAAAACACCATGGTTTTTGATTTTTTACATAACAAGCTAAATATAAAAATTAAAGGCAATTCTCTGTTTTATTTCAATAAAGTATTCAATTGTATTACTAATTAGTAATTTTTTAAGTGTTTTTTCTCAAATTTTTATATACGAAGTATACAAATATGCATATTAGAAGAAAGAAACGATACCAATTTTTTTTAAATCAGTTCAAAATTGTTTAAAATATAAGGAATTTAATTTTTCGAAGACCTCAACTTTGACCCCTTGTATATGTTAAACATGTTGTATGTATATGTTAAACATTTTGATTTCGGCGGAGCTGTATATCGCGACAAATCGAATCTCTTACAGAGTTTCCCCTTGCAACTTCGCCATGCACGGCGATTTCCTCATTGAGCTCCGGAGTTGCCTCTGCCGTAAATTCTAAATCTCCCTCGTCAGCAATGTTATGTAAAACACAGCAAGCCCTTACAAAATGGCAGAGCTTTTTCATACCTCGTAGCTTACAGTGATATAACTGCCTGAAACGTTGTTTTAGGATTCTGAAGCTATGTTCTATAGCTATGCGTCCGGAACTTAATTTAATATTAAACAATTTATTAGCGTTTGTTAGATGGCCATTATCTTTGTAAGGCGTGATTAGGTATTTGTTGCAGGGATATGCGGAATCACCTAACAGGTAATAATCTGAAATATATCAAATGCTGTGTTATGTGATGGTAAAGATTTCAAGGGTTGTTACCTTTACAATAAGAGGGCAATTTGTTGTAAAGCGTTGAGTTCTTAAATACCCAACTATCGTGGCAAGAACCTGGATAGCCAACGAAAATGTTCAGAAATTTCTTATTTTCGTTGCAAACAGCTTGCAGACATATTGATGTTATTCCTTTGCGGTCAATATAATCGTCCTTTCCTTTACTTGGCGGGTCTATCCTTATGTGCATACCATCAATGCAACCTAAATAGTTAAATTAATATAATTTATATACAAGTTCATTGACAATTGAATATTTCACCTATTGCCTTGGAAAATAAACATTTCCTATCAAAGAATCTACTCGATTCCTCCATCTGCTCTTGGGTTGGCCATACAATAAATTGTGGACTTAGGGAGCTTAAGAACATCGTTACTCTATTAATTGCAACACAAATCGTTGAAAGAGAAAGATTGAAGCGGTCGGCTAAATCTCGGTAACAACATCCAGCGTGGCCAGCAAACCACAAAAATAACAATAAATGTGTCTTTTCCGAGAGTCTTTTGTCACCCCGCAGATTGCAATAAAAATCCGAGACTAAGAACCTTTCGCTTAGGTTCTCAAAAAGACTTTTGGAAATTCGGAAATGCATCCTAAATTCTCTTTCAGTGTAAGTTGGCACTGTTTGCTCAATATAATTAATAACGCAGTTACGAGGCTGCCTTTCACGGAACAGCAGCAATATATTTGAATACAAATCGTGGTTTGTTGATAACTTTTGCATTATGGCTAACTCCTCTTCGTTCTCACTTTCACTGTCACTTTCTGATGAAGACGATTCCATTGCAATCATAAGCGCACTAACTATTTGTTTTCTTTCCATTACTTTTTTTTTATCCATATTCTCGGCTTTTGTAAAAAAATAAGGCAAGTTTTTAAGACCAAAAGAAAAATATTTATAAAAATACCTTCGAAGTTTCCAATGTCCTGATTTATTGACATGGAGGGATTATCCTGCTCTGCGGTACTTCCTGGCGTAGTTGAAAGTTCATCTTCATTCGTTTCACGAATACATATCCTTTTGTTGGGGACCTGGTAAAAAAGATTACAATTTATTATACGTACATATGCACATGCATATAAACTTAACAAAAACTAGATCTACTTACTTCTTCCATATCGTAATATTTGCTCATATTTGTTTTCTAAAATGCTAAAATTCAATTTTGTGATTTGCGTAAATTCCTAC